ACATGGTCTGGAATATTAGATAAAAGAGGAAGAGGAGCTCCTCCCAAGGAGTGTGTGCTAGATGGAACACCTGTATTTATAGCAGTAGTTCATCAGAGATCCCACAGATAGTAGGCTTTGAGCCAGGGACCTCTATCTGACTTTTACACTCTTTCCTCAATCGTAATAGTATTGATTACTGACCATTCTGTTTTCAAGTTAGAGAAGTGGCAATTTTTTAAATTGAGTTTATTGGTAAATTTTAGGCATACAGTACAGTTACATTCATTATTGGGATCTTGTGCCTCTACATGACAGGTCTTTGTTCTCATTTTTCCCCTTGTCCCTGCCCTTCCTTCACCCCCTCTTCCCCTTCCCCTTTGCAAACACTTTATTTCCATCTTTTCATTTTCTCACATTTTTTTTCTTTTCCCTTATTACCTTTCCCCCACCCTTCCCACCTTCCCTACACCTTTAGCCCTTTTCTTTCCATTTCACAATGTCACTTATCTCATTAGGATCTTATGTATTATTAGAGAAGTGGTAATTTTGATAACAGTGGCTATGTTTCCTTGTTTACTATGGACATTCAGTAGAAGAATGTCCTTTTTGTTAAGAATTTCCAACCTTCTCATGTTGGATGCAGCACACTGATCCTCTGGAGTATCACTATATCATGATGAATTATTAGATCTTTGCTTTTAGCCTCCTAGAAAATGATCTTAGGTTTGTGTTTCCTTTTGAACTTCTACTGCACATCAAATATTCATACCTTTCCCAGATCCATGCAGTTTAGTAACACTAAAGGATTTATTGTGGTCCACATGTGATGAATAGAAATGGTGTTTGTCACTTGTAGGAGTGTGAGTTCAGTTGTATCCATTTTTTCTGCCATGATGACTTTCAAAATGAAGGGACTTTTCTGAGTATGACTTTTTTTGAGGAAAGACCTTCTATTTCTCCCTAGGAACTAGCATTGAGAATGAGAAATAAAAACTTATTGTATTAAGCCTTTGATATCTTTGGGGTTATTTATTGTTGAAACATAGTCTAGCATCTCCTGGAAGTGCTACATTAAAAACTATGTGTACTGATGACTTACTGGTTGGCAAAATTAGAAATTTAATATGCAAGGCAGGGATGTTAACAATCTGTGTTACCCAGTGGTGAAACATTTGGAGAAACTGTCACCTGCAATTACATAGGAGTAAGATTACACATCTAGTGGGTGAAAAAAAAGTGTTGTTAGTATGTCTTTGTTATTATTTGTTGCAGTTTTCAAGATAATAATGAAAGAAATGGACTTATTTTGTAAGTGCAAATAGGATAGAGAATTCTAGAAACCCAAGTTTGTCATGTTGGAAAGATCATTTTTGCTCTCAAAGAAACAGCTAAAATTACTACTACTATATTGTGATCTTTGTCCATATTTCTCAGCTCCTTTACACATAGGTAGGGTTATATTACTAGTTTTGGCCATGGCTGACTAGAAATAATGCCCCCCCCCCACTCTGTGGTACAGGGGAGCGAACTCAGGATCTTGCGCTTGCGAGACAGGTGGAGGAACCACTGAGCTAAATCCCTAGCCCCTTCCTCTTTTTTAAATCCTGAAGCATAGTAGCAGGCATCAGTTCTTCATGTATTATTATTTTTTGCTTTGACAAGACCTTACTTGGTCCTTGGGTGTCTCAGGATAACCAAACTCATCTTCTCCAAAATCTTCCCAGTGTGAACAAGAAAGAAGCAACTGGTTTGGGAAACTATTGGGGCTGAGGAGCTAATTTTCTCTTTCAGCATTACCTAGCCCATATGGACTAATACATACTCTCTGAAACTTCAAAATGGGCTTGCACTTTATGTAATAGAAACAGTAATGAGAGATCTTTTGACAGTATATTTGGGTACATATTATAAAACTACAGGAAAAGCCAAGTATGATTCAGTTAACTAGACTAGTCTTACTTTTGTAATTTTCCCACATTTCTTATACTTTTTTCCAAGTCCTTAAACACCCAAGCTATGCAGATGTTCAGAAATACTGTTCTTGCCATTGTAATAGCATAACATTTTTTTCAGGCATATTAAGATTTTTCTAGATATTAATCTATTTTTTTCTGGTCTCCCCACTTCATATGTGTAGATCCTTCACCCATCACTGGGCAACTAACAGAAATCGCTCTCCAGGTATCCAAACCTGGATCACAGCATAGTCAACAGGATCAATAGGGTCCTTGAAATTAGTGGAGAAATGAGTTGCCAACAAGGGCATGCCAGGTACAAGGTCAAGCAGTTTGGAAGATGCTTATATGCAGGCCATATTTGCCCTCTTGTCATTGGCAACTTATGCACAAAGAGATACATGGAGAATTCCTGGCAAACAAACACATAGGCAGATGCCTATGTGAGGAATTGAAACAGAAAGCGAGCAGAGTGTGCAGAATATCGGCACAACGTCAGCCAGGGTAAATGAAGGAACGAAACACATCACAGAAGCTTCTGGCTTGCAGGTACCAGGCAAAATCTTTGAGCAAAGTCATCCTGGGTCCTAAGAAATAGACCTAAAGATAAACTTAACACAACAAGTGCACATGTATAGTATTCAGTGAGGGACAGTTGTCCCTACATGGGAATTTTAAATAAAGTAGAAAGAAAAATATTATCATAAGTGATATATCAATTAATATAAAGACAAAGAATAAAACTTCATTGACATTCTGGGAAAAAGTAAATATTTTAATATATCCAGGATATCTGTTCTAATTATCTATGAAAGTGACTTGTTAAAAGTAGACTGTTTTGCACACTAATAAGTGAAGGTGAATTTTTAAATTATTTGAAAAATTTTCACAATATAAGATCACATTCTGGTAGCTAGTAGCTTCTGTGTTTCTTTCTATTGTTTCCTTTACAATTTCTATTGTTTCCTTTACAAGATCAGGCAGGAGGACTATGATATCATGTCTCAGCTTCATACTTGGAGAATGGTTAGCTTTCTTCTATTAAGATTTCTCAGTTTAAAATATGAATTTGTAAATTATTGCATATATTATGACTTTTTCTATCTCTCAGATTAGAAAATACAGAGATTTAGCTGAGTCATCACTGATGTCATTCAATAGTGATAATCAATGGTGAAGAATAACTGAAAGAATAAAATAAAAGTATTCAAATACACTTTAAAATCATATACTTCTGAACATCTAAGTCAGTTAGTAGTAGCATGTAGGGGAGGAGAGATGTAAAACAGAAATATCAACACTAAAACCTCAGAAGAAAGCTAAGTATATAACACATTTAAAAGGGGCCAAGATAAAAAATCATTAGTATTAAATTGGGACTGAGGGGGAGAAAATATTTTCCCTTAAAAATTCACATTTGGCGCAATTTTGCAAGTCATGTCCATGAATAGCTGTATCTCTAAAGATGCTACTTTAATTGTGCTTATAGGATCAAAATTCAGCATCAACCTCAGATCTTTCTGATGTCCTACATCATTTTTGTATGAAATTCATAGCTTGGTAAAATATTTTAAATATATTTGCATGTCTGTGTGCAGATGTTATCCATTCATTTATCTATTTGTTTTTCTATTTAGTAAATATTTGTTGAGCTCCTATGTTGTTATAGAATATGTGTAAGTGTTAGGAAACAGTAGAGAACAAAGCATATTCTTTGCCATTGGGGAGAGCAAGATAGTGACTAAATAACTATATGTAAAATGCTATGTTAATATTGGAAGCATTCTGATGAGTTTACAGCGAAAAAAAAAGAAACTGACCCATAACTCATCATACTATCCTATGACCTTATTAACTTAATAACTGGGGAGAGGGAGGTGCTGTATTTGGTATCTTTCTTTTTTTCACATGTTTTCCAGGCATTTTGGGCTTTAAATAGTCTTAAATATATTAGTAGTAGCTTCAAATATTATAGTGTATATAAAAGTTAATACTTTTATTTTGACAACTTTGTTTCTAAATGAAATTTATATATATATATATATACATATATATGAATCTTTATTTTCATATCTGAATACATCTCCAACATAAAGTGCTAGAAATGGAATTGTTGGGTCTAAATGCCATGCATATTTCATGATGTGAATGCTGTGAAATGCATTTTTATCTCAACTGTGTGAGATATTGTGCAGATTTGAAATGAGTCAAAACCATACCTCAGTATGGTTTTATTTTGATGTTCTTCTTCTTTTATTTCTTTGGTGCTATTTTAAACAACATTTACTGGTGAGGTTAATTCTTTAAGTGTGTTGATTGCATCTTCTCCTTTTGTGAATTCTTTATTATTTGCCCCTCCTCACTCTGTTTTTTCTACAAGGTCATTAGTCTTTTTTTGTTTTTGACTTATGAGAAATTTTATATATGAAGCACGTATTTGTTGTAATTTTCCTCCAAGTGGTAAATTGTATTTACACATTTTGACATCTGGGGGCCTTTTCTTGCTCTCAAACTTATTGATCTTGTGTGTGTGTGTGTGTGTGTGTGTGTGATTTCTTCCATCCCTTATGTTTAGTTTGCTCTCAAACTTATTGATCTTGTGTGTGTGTGTGTGTGTGTGTGTGTGATTTCTTCCATTCCTCTTATGTTTAGAAAACCTTTCATATCTTAGAATCAGTAAATGTTTACATATTTTTAATTTATTGAGATATTTTATCTATGTTTTATTTTGGTGAGACGAGGTTTTAAATTGAGCCTTGTCATATGTCATATAGTTCATTTTCTCGACACTCTTTGTTAATAAAATAACCCATCCTTTCTTATCTGTCCAATGTGCACACAAACACACATACACATACGCTGATCTATTTGAGAGTTTGCCTTAATTCGCTTAAAAGAATCTGTTTTTAACGTTGTGTGGAGAGTGATGGTTCCTGCACTTTTTGTCCCAGATGTTAACCGATTACAATAATTCTTGGTACCGTCTTGACGGAAAGAAGGAGAGCAACTGTGCGGAGGCATTTAGGACCCAGGGGAAAGCCAGGCTCGGTATAGAAGGACAGAGTCTCGGTGCACACGCCTCCTACCAAAATCACAGCCCCGTGGAGCCACCAGGGCTCATTCACAGCTTTCTAGAGAAATCTGAGCTCGAACCTGCCAGAATAGGAGATCTCACCCACCCCGTTCAGCCGCGAGGACACCTGCAGAAACACATTCCCAAAGCAAGCCTGGGCGGCTGTGTGAAGGTATTTGTTGCCTTTTTTCTTCTTTCTGTATTTGCAGAGCTTCCCCGCCTCCCCGCCCCCCGCACTTCTTACGATGCTATGGCTGCAGCGTTTCAGCACTTGGTGCGTGGACAGCTCCCATCTGCAATCCCTCTGCGCTCCTTCCTTTCCCGCACCCCACTTGCCACCGCCTCCGCGGTCCATCTTCCTCCCGGCGTCCGCTCAGCCTGTGCTCCCTTTGCACCATCAGCACCCCATCTCCACCATCAGCGTCATCATCTCCACCATCACCGGCGCGGTAACTAGTCAACACAACTGTGTCTCCTCACTTTGACAAAGCCCGAGGTCCGCAGGGTAGAGGACAAAAGCTCAAGTTTACAGGCATAGGAAGGAAAGTTCAGGTGCGTGACACCCCTGAAAACAAAGAGAGGCGCCTGCTTGAGAGAAAGGCAAAGTGAAAGCAGGAGGGAGAGACCCGGGGCACAGAGACAGATGGGGACTTGCCAGACACCAGCAGTTAGACAGCTGCCTTTCAGCAGATTAGGAACTGTTTAGTTCAGGAAATTAACACGGCCTGAGGCATAGTGTGATTCCAGAGAGACAAAAATGTAAGCTTAACTCATATTTCTGATTTTCCAAAGGAGAATCACCAGAAGCAGGGCGGGGGTGACTGATGACTCACATTCACCTACATGCTTTTCCCTTCCTAAACAATTACTGTAGAAACTCTGGAATTAAGTTTTTACTGAAATGCTTTGTAAAAGAGGAACCCAAAGATTACCTCTCTGGCCAGAATGAAAATTAAAATGGTGATAATGAAAAGCAAACAAATGGGGAGATCTCACTGGAAAATTCTGTTTGTTCAAAGGTCTCTTCCTACTTATTTCATTCCAATTTTCCAATCTTAAATATCTCTTGGAAGCAGAACAGATAGATCCCTTACCCAAATGGCCAAAGTAGTAATGATATTCAGAACAGATGGCCTGGCTTTGTTCATCACTAGTCAAGGACTGGCTCAGATTTGGAAGGCGAGATTTTTTCACGCTTTCTCAGTAATCAGGCGATAACACCATTTTCCGATAATAGTAAAGGGTAATAGAGTGCAAAAATTGAAAAGGCATTTTATGTAACTGGTTTGCCAGAATCTGCTTTTAGAGTGCTATCATTTTCTATCTTAGCTTAAGGGAAGTTAGGACATCTTTCATTTATCTGATTAATTTGGACTTGATGATCTAAACATAAGTCATGGCACCTATTTGATTTAGCCACAGTTATCTGTTTTATAAGAGCTAACAAACATCAGAAAATAAGTGAAAGACCTGGTCATAAAAATCTTTTGGTGAGTGTTCATTATATTAATTTTTCTGTATAGTAAAGTATTGTGGGTTTGTCTTACATAAAATCAGTACATTAATTAAATAATATGTATTTAAATGAAAATAGTGTCAGATCACATGCAATAAGAAAGTTTAAACAAGAATAGAGAAAAGCTTCATTTAAATCTTGCCCTTGCACATATTCTCCCTCTTTAAAAAGATGCAGTGAAACAAGTTTTGACCAAACTAACTTGCTCATTATTAGAGGCATTGCCACAAAGAAAGAGGATCAGAAACAGGTATTTTCTGGAGAAATTTTGTGGGAGAACCCTCACTTAATACTTTATGAATAAGGAAATCATGTCAAAAGTTTCCTTACTGCTACTAATTGTATAAACATAAGCATAATTCTACCTGCCTCTAAAATGTGCTCATTTTAAAACTCAAACCAAGACTACTCGGGAAAATATTTGATGAAATGGATTTTAAAGAAGAAAAAAGTTTGGTTATTCATATATCATCTTTAGACTAGTAATATACACAGCGCCAAAGAACTCTGAAGTCCCTGAGCAAGGAGATTATTAGAACTACCTTATCATTTGCAAAGAATGGTTCAGGTCAAGTGATTTTAGAAAGTGTACATATTACCAATTCTTACTATCCCACACCAGAAACTCAGGCTAAGAATCCAGTGCCTCCAATACTTCTCTCTTCCTGTGCTTAATACAATTTCCTGAGGCTGAGGAAATTTCAAAATAATGTTGTTTCAGTGAGATTTACAGGCATCTGTCTCAGAAGTAATGCATTTTCCTGATTAAAATGCTGAGCTTATTAATTTTTATAGATTGCTACTATCCTGGATTCTTCACTTATTTCTTAAGAGCCATTTTATTTTTCATATTTCCAATAACACAGCTTTCTGGTTTTTTTAAAATAGGAGAATAACAATAGTTACACTGAGTATCATTCTCTCCAAAGTAGTTACTCAGAGTACAAGTCATAAACCAAAAGGATTATTACAAAAAAGAAACAGATAACACAAATCTTTTATTCTCCCAACAAAGATAAACCAATAGTATAGTGAAGCCAATTAGCATATGGAATTTGTGATCTGGGGAAGTATGTATTTGAACATCTCCCTACTTCAAATTTATCTCTTCATTTGAAACACTATGACATTTGAGCTTGTGTGCTTGACTTATTTCACTTAATATTATATTCTCAAGTTGTATCCATTTAACTATGAATCTCTCGTTTCTCTTTTGTTATGGCAGTGTAGTAGTCCATTATATATATTTTCCTTATCACTCATCTGTTAATGACATACACACTATTTTCAAGATCTAGCTGTTAAAAAAGATGTTTGAGTCTTTTGGGATGCTACCAAGAAGGGGGATAACTGGATCAAATGGAATTTCTAGTTTTAGTTTTCTGACCTCCATAGTGGTTCTACTAGCTTACATTGTGATTGAGAATGCAGCAGAGTTTCTTTTTCCCCACATTCTCACCAAAATTTGTTATTATTAGATTTTTTTTGATGATAGCCATTGTTTCTAGGGTAAGATGGCATCTCAGTGCAGTTTTAATGTGCATTTCTCTGGTGGCCAGTGACAATAAGCATTTTTTCATCTATTTATTAACCATTTGTACTTCTTCTGAGAGGTCTCTCTAAATTTCAGCTGCTTTTGACTGGGCTTCTTATTGTGGGTATCTAAGTTTTTAATATAATCTTCATGTTAGTCACCTGTCATCTGGTGACATTTTTTCCCATTCTGTAGATTGTCTCTTCGCTCTGTTAGCTGTTTTTAACGTGGACTTAAAGGTAACCAGAAAATATTTTTCAGTCAAGTTTCATCATATACTTTGTACTTTTGTAGGCATGCTCATGGAAAGATGCAAATTTTCAGAATTGGTACAAAATAGATAGGCCCTTCATTTTCCAAACGATGAAATCTTGAACTCATAGACCACGTGGTATCTGATCACTTCTGCAGCCTTTACAAAAGAGACATACACACTATTATATCTGAGAAGTTTGTTCTTAATTCTACGGATCCCTCATTGCAGAGCCATCCTTAGTAAGGCTGATTTCAATCTTCTCTGGTGTTCTTGTTACAGAGGTACTTGGACAGAGGAAGTAACACACCAGAGTGTACATATTAAATATGGAGCATGACAAGTATTTAATCCAGAAAAATCTCATCATTGCCTAAAAAGGTCTTCTTGTACATCCTGCTCCCAAAAATTCATTGTCCATTTTATCCAGATAGCCCCAAGAGTTATATCTCTCTATAGAAAAAAAATGTGCCTAATTTCTAATCTAAGCACTTTCTTTTTTTTTCCAGTACCAGGGATCAAACTCAGGACCTTGTGCTTGTAAGGCAGGCCCAGCACCACTGAGCTAAATCCCCAGTCCTCTAAGCTTTTTCTTTAGCTTAAAGGAAGACTATTTTCTTTTGCTTTATTCTTCATGAATGTGGAAATCAACCAGTCAAAATTCTGCCGTACTAAAACAAAACAAAGCAATACAAAACAAAAACTTCTTTATTCAGATAAAAAGTTCATTGTTTTCCACTTCTGGTGCTTCCCACAACCTTTTATTCTATCTTCTCCGGTCAGGTTGCCCTCTGATCTTTCCCTTTATGTAGTGACTCTGTGATAGTAACGGCGAAAGCATCCTGTGCAGAGAATTTCTTGTGAGCTTGTCTTCTTGACTTCTGAGCCTGCAACATCTCACCATACGTATTTGAGATGTGTCCTGAACCCTTTCAGATAAATCTTCAATTCTCAGATATTGTACAGGGTACCTTTCCCCATCTCTGCTCCTTAAAATAGCATCACCTCAATTCGGTTTCTATTATTGCTCAGATGTCTTATGTAAAGTTCCATACTTCTATATGTGTTATGCACCTAGCCTATTCAGTGTTATTTTGTAGTTTTGGAGAAAGTAAGAGGACAATTGTGGAACCGGAAATAGCAGTTGAAAGGCTCAAAATCTCTATAGATAAGAAGAGTCGATGTGTGGTCAAAATCAAATAGAATAAATAAAACGTGACATTTTCCTCTCCACTCCCATTCATTTTCCCCTGCTATCCCTCCCTCTCTCTTTTCTTTCTTTTTTAAATTGAGTTTATTGGTACATTTTAGGTATACAGTACAGTTACATTCATTATCCGGACCTTGCATCTTTACATGACAGGGCTTGGTTCTCATTTTTTCCCCTTGTCCCTGCCCTCCCTTCACCCCCTCCTCCCTCCTCTCTCTTCTCTTACTTTTTTCTTTGGATACATATGGGGAACCAAACACAGGACCTTGGGCTTGTTTACAAGCCAGATGGTGAAACCTCTGAACTAAATTTCCAGCCCCTTTTCTTTCTTTCTTTTTGGCTGATATGAAAACTTGTAAGAATAACTAATGGGGTGAAACAATAAGCCATGTTGACTGCCATTGCTCTTCAGGGAACGAACACACTGGAGGTGTTTTACATTCTATTGGAAAATGTAGCACTGGTAGCAATGCCAGTGCAAGCTCTGATTCGGGGTAATTAATCTACCTTCCCAAGACCCTTAGGTCATTACTAATCCTCTAGACCAGCACTGTCAAACATTAATATGCACCTTGCTTGCTTGGGGATTTTGTTACTCATTCAGTAGTTCTAGGTAGGGACAATGTTCTATACTCTTAACAAGTTCCTAGGTACTGCTG